CCAGGGGTGCCTCCTCTGCCTAGTCAGGTGGCTTCTGGGGGACATCTGTAGCATCTGGAGCTCTCCAGCTCTCCCCTATACATTTCCCAGGCTCTGGCTGCCTTCTGTCAGGAAGAGGGAGTGAGGATTATGCTTCCCATTGCACAGAGGGGCAGACTGAGGCTCAGAGAAGGACGGTCAGCCTTGGACAAAGTTACTTAATCCACTGCAGCTCAGGCCTTTCCTACATCTCAGGGACCAAACAATGCCATACCCTGGGGGGACATGGCTGTACTTTGTGGGGTTGGAGAATGGTCAGTGGTGGAGAATGATCTGGTCTGCCCTGAATTACCTTTTTTTTTGAAACAGGATCTTGCTCTGTCATCCAAGCTAGAGTGCAGTGGCATCACCATGGCTCACTGCAGCCTTGACCTCCTGGCTCAAGTAATCCTCCTGCCTCAGCCTCCCAAGTAGCTGGGACCACAGGCACATGCCACCATGTCTGGCTAACTTTTAAATGTTTTGTAGAGATGGGGGTCTCACCATGTTTCCCTGGCTGGTCTCAAACTTTTGGGCTCAAGCAGTCGTCTCACTTTGGTCTCCCAAAGTGCTGGGGTTACAGATGTGAGCCACCACACCTGGCCCTGCACCTTGGCTTTCTTATGCTCTAGGCCTGGGGTCTTGGGCCAGGGTCATAGGCCTCCGCGTGGTCAGGGTCAGTCTGGAATGGAGTAGGATGCTGGCCTGGGCTTAGCAGTATTTGGCTGCAGGTCAGAGCTTTTTCTCCAAGAATATGCTAACCCAGATAAAAGCGATAATGATGAAGATGTTGATTGTGCCCTGGGTGGGTCCAAGGATTCTCAGGATCTGTTCTTTCCTTCTTTCCATTCAAAAATATATTCACTGGCCAGGCGCGATGGCTCACACCTGTAATCTCAGCACTTTGGGAGGCCGAGGCAGGCAGATTACCTGAGGTCAGGAGTTCGAGACAAGCCTGGTTAACACAGTGAAACTCTGTTTCTACTAAAAATACAAAAATTAGCCGGGCATGGCAGCACGCGCCTGTAGTCCCAGCTACTCAGGAAGCTGAGGCAGGAGAATTGCTTGAACCTGGGAGAAGGAGGTTGCAGTGAGGCAAGATCGAGATACAGCACTCCAGCCTGAGTGACACAGCAAGACTCTGTCTAAAAACAAACCAAAAAATATATTTATTGAGCATCTACTATCGAGAGGCGCTGTTTTAGGCACCAAGGATGCTGTGGTAAACAAAAGAGACTGTCCTGCCCTCATAGAGTGTCCATTTTAGAGGGAGAGACTGATAATAAGTAAATTCATAAATAATTTCAGTGGTAAGAGTGGAGAGGAAATATAACAGAATGATAGGGCGGAGAGCTTGGGAGGTGAAAGCAGCCTCAGACCTGCAGGCCAAGGAGGTCTTCTTTGAGGGAATGACGCCTGAGGACCAGGAGCTAGCCCTGCACCAATGGGCAGGCATGGGAGGGGCAGTTTCCTTTAGCCCCTGTGCTTGCCATCCTCAGGGACCCCCAAGGGCGTGGACTTCACAGCTGTGCGGGATCTGCTGCTGTCGGTGGAGGGGGTGGAAGCCCTGCACAGCCTGCATATCTGGGCACTGACCATGGCCCAGCCTGTTCTGTCTGTCCACATTGCCATTGGTGAGTGCTCGGGACACTCAGGGTGGGGTGGGAGACAGGCAGCCAAAGGCCTGGTGCCATCTCCACAGGGTCCAGGTGACCCAGATGCTCACAGTGCCCATGCATCAAGCTCAGCCTCATGCTGAGTACGTGATATGCATTATTCCATCTGATCATCACAATCTCATTTATCCATGAAGAAACTGAGGCTGGCGTTGGGTGGTAAAGTTACTGGCCCAGGCTTTTACAGCCAGTATATGGCAGTAGGTGGCAGATTCCTGGCCTTAAGGCCAATGCTTTACCAGCTCTTTCAGGCATGAGCCAGGTCTGGTCTGGGAGGCTACCTGGCAGAGGAGTAGAATGTGGGGGCTTCTCCATGTTCATGGTCCCCCATCCTGTTCTGCTGGGGATGGGGATAAGATTGAGGCTCCTGATGGTTCCAAAGGGCCAGAGTAAATGGTTTCCCCTGCTGTGTCCTCTCGGTCCCCAGCTCAGAATACAGACGCCCAGGCTGTGCTGAAGACAGCCAGCAGCCGCCTCCAAGGGAGGTTCCACTTCCACACCGTGACCATCCAGATCGAGGACTACTCGGAGGACATGAAGGACTGTCAGGCATGCCAGGGCCCCTCGGACTGACTGCCCAGCCAGGCACCAACTGGGGCATGGACAGGAACTGCAGGTGGCTGGACTGAGCGTTCCCCAGGCCCAGCCAGGACTTTGCCTGCCCCAGCTGTGTTATAAACCGGGTCCCCCTCCTGACCTCTGCTCCATGTTCAGTGCAGAGCCTTGTCCCACTCCAGGAATGGAGCTCTTCCCGGCCTCCCCATCTGACTGCAGCCAGCGCCAGGGTGGGGACGCAGCGGGTATAAAGCTAGTGTGACCCTGCTCTTCCAGCTCCTGGGCCAGCTCTGGAAGGGCTGTATTTGGGCCTAATCCTAAGCAAATGTCGTTCTACCACTCGCAGGGGCAAAGGCGGTGAGCCATGGGATGTCCAAAGGGAGGCTGGCTCCAGCGCACCCGTACTGCCTGCCTCATCCCCCATTCTCAGCCTGGCTGGCCTTTGCCTTTATGAATCTGAGCCCCTCCCTCTGCCTATAGCAATAGGCACAGGGATGAGGACCCTCACACTCTCATTTGAGCCTCCCTGAGGCAGGGAGCCAGGAGGCACCTGAGGCCTGTCTGTGCCTCAGTCACTTCAGCTGTGAGCCAAATGTTCCCTTTCCTGGAGGGGAGAGGCCTCTTACTAGGTAAGGGACAGGTTTCCTCTTTCTTATTCCCTCAGCTGTGCCAACACAAAACACAACCTTGGCACAGGTGGTGGGTGGAGGGTAGAGAGATTTCAGTTTGGGTTCTGCGCTAACAGCCTCCAAGCCGCTTGGCACTTCTGTTGCCCTGAGAGTGTCCCAGGGGATTCAGAGTCTCCAGCAAGATATGGCTGGGCCAGCTCTGCTGCCTACCTGGCCTGACCCAGTCGGAGCCTGGCATGGTGGAGGGAGAGGGAGAGAAGCGGGGCTGCACTGGCCCAGAGGCCAGCTAGGAGGGAGACCGTGGCTTCCTGGGGCTTGTGTGTGAAGATTCCTGACTTAGGGGTGGCTTGTGTTTACAAGATGCAAGAGGGGAGATCTGTCCCCGACTCATGGAGACAACATGCCCAGTTATCAGAGTCCTGTGTCACCAGGTCTGTCTCTGCCATTGTAAGCAAGTGCCTTGGGCGAGTTGGCCTCTGCCCCAGTCTCATCTGTAGACCGACAGGGTTGATGCCTCCCTCACGGGGTTGAGAACAAGAGCCAGTTGGCCAAGTACCTGTGGTTCTTGAAGACTGGTTACTTTTATCATCCTTGAGACAGGAAACTCTGTGGCCCGAGGCTGCCTCACTGAGGAGCTAGGTGGGCTTCCCGGCCTCCTCCGGGGCAGCGCTGAGTTTGTCTTGACTGTTCTGGCCCAAGGTGGGAGGAGGTGGGTTTGGTCACTTGCCTCCCACTTTAAATCTCTATCTTTCTATCTGTGAAACGACCTCTTTGTGCCTTCCCAGCACTGTCATCCTGATTGCCTGTGTTCTAGGTAGGTGGGTCCTTCAGCCCCTCCAGGTCTGTGAAGTCTGTGGAAAGCACCGGCCTGGAGCAGGGTGGGGGGTTGCTGGCGGGTGCTCCATTCCACTACAATCTCAGGGGACTCAACCCCCCCTACCCCACTCCTACCCCCCTACCCAAGCCATGGCAGGCCCCAGGAACTTGATCATGGGCTTTGCTGTGTACCAAGTCCTTACACCCCTCTCAAGAGACAGTCATTGGCTGGGCACGGTGGCTCACGCCTGCAATCCCAGCACCTTGGGAGGCCAAGGCAGGTGGATGACTTGAGGCAAGGAGTTCAAGACCAACCTGGCCAACATGGTGATACCTCATTTCTACTAAAAATACAAAAACTAGCCAGGCGTGGTGGCTTGTGCCTGTAATCCCAGCTACTCAGGAGGCTGAGGCAGGAGAATCGCTTGAACCGGGGAGGCAGAGGCAGAGGTTGCAGTGAGCTGAGATCACACCACTGTACTCCAGCCTGGGCGACACAGCGAGACTCCAGCTTAAAAAAAAAAAAAAAAAAGAAGACGATCATTGCTGTGCCACATTCTTATGGATGAAAAAACAGGCTCAGAGGTGGAGTCGTTTTCCGGAAGTCACACAGCCAGTGCAGGCAGGTCTGGGATTTCTGCCTCATTCCCATAGACCTTTTTCTACAGCAGGGTCTGGGGACCTGGTCTGGGCTGCCTGTTGGTACAATACGAACCGCTGGGACCAGCAGTTCCTGGCCCGTGGGCAAGGCCATGCCAAGGCAGTTCAGTGTCCTGGGTGTCACAGCTGTGACTGGAAAGGTGCCTCTTTCCCCTGGCTGGGCCTGGCACCCAGCGCCCTCCCCACCCTGGGAAGGCTGCCTGGGCCACAGCTGTATGCTTTCCCACTCACCCTCAGTTCTTGACTGCAGGCCAGACTGGCTCTCCCCCACCTCTTTAATTTCCACTCGCCCTGTACCTCCAGCATCTCACGGCACCACGCCTCCCGAGGGTAACCCACTCTGCCACTCAGCTGTGACTGGCTCTAGGGAGGACCTGAGTCATCCAGGGGCCCGCCGAGGTCAAGCTGGGGGGTGGGGGTGGAAGGCCTTGGAGAGGCCTAAGGGGACAGCATGTTCCTGCCAGTGAGACAGTCACGGGAGTTTCCAGAGCTGCGAGGCCATCAAAGCAGGAAAACACCTGACACCCTGGACCTGGGCTGGACCCACCACCCTCACCCTCTGGAGTCGCACGCACTCCCAGGCGAGCCCTGGGCCCTGAGCCCCTCCCTCGAGCAGCTGCTGTAAGGGTATTTATAGCCTGGAGCGTGAGGGGGCAAGGACACGCGCTTTATTTCGGAAGTGATAATTCCAGTTCCAGTTGGGTGAACCCCGGAGGACCTAGTGTCCCCTCCCTCACTCCATCCTATACCTCTGGGGACAGTACCCGCTCGCGCCCAGTCCACCTGGAAACAGTCCCTTCTTACTGAGTTCCAAGTGTGCAGGCCAAAGAGATGGGGCTGTTCTTCAGATTCCTCTTCCCAGCTTTCAGCCCCCGAGCTGCCCACAGCGCTCACCCTCCACATCCCGGCCGCCCTATGGCCATGGGAGTGACGAGTGCGGTGCAGCGCTGACCTCTAGTGGTCGGCGTCGGTAATGCAAGGCAGGCGGCCAAAGCTGCGCCGCCGGCGCGCGCCGTACAGGGGCCGGCCACTTGTTCCGGTCCTGCTTTCCTCGCCCACTCCTCGTTTACCCGCACCCCTCTGCGCCTTGGCTGAGGCTCAAGGATTGAACCTGACAACCTAGGCGTCTTTGGGTAGCTACCTTCCCGGGACTAGGAACCCTAGGAATGGGGTGGGGAGGCCGTTCCGTTTCTCCGCTCACCCTATCCCGCTGCCGCCCGCATAGGGCCAGGCACGCAGTTAATGTCTGCCATCCATCTATTCGTCAAATATTTGCGGCACATCTGCCTAGCCAGAGAGAAAAAGACATGAAAAGACCAGACCCCCGGGGCTCGCAAGCCAGTCCTGGGGCCTGACCATGCGGCAACCGCGACAAACACTAAGACCGAACCCATCGGGGGCGGGGAGGAGAGCCAGGCAATGTCCCTGGGGGAGGCAATGCTCTGAAAGACAAGCAGAAGTTAGCTGGGTGGAGAAGCGGAGAGCGGCGCTTAGGACGCGGGGCTGAGCCTGCACTGAGGCTCCGCGGCCGACGGCGGGCGGGCGGGAGAGGGTAAGGCCACGCCCCCCGGTTGTGACTGGCCAACCGGGATCCGACGTGTGGGCCCGCTGGCTGCCATGATAGGTTCTGTGTCCCAAGGGCGGAGCCCGCAGGCAGGTGTCGCTTCCCCTGGGAGCTGGGCTAGGACTTCCACTGGGGTCTCCGCGGGTCGCCCCCTAGGGCTTCTCCAGGCTGCGGTACTTCTTGCGCTGCACGGACACCGGGTCCTTAAACAGCACCGGGTCCAGACGCAGACGAGAGGACAGCAAGGGCATGTGGCCGAACGCTGCCGCTATCTGGTTGACGCAGTCGGGGGCTGGGGCCTGCGGCTTTGACCTGGGCCCCGGGCCCCCAGAGGCCTAAGAGGGAAAGAAGCAATGGGTTAACAGGCTTCTCTACCCTTCCGAACTCCCCACGCCCGTGCAGCAAGAAAGACTGGAATTAGACAGTGAGAGGAAATCCTCCCCGCAACCCCTGCCCAATCCCCGCCATTTCCGACCAGTCCGCCTCAGCCCTCACCAGTGGAGCAGCCTCCTGGCGCTGCTTGCCATAGGGCACCTTGATAGGGGGCAGCTTGGTGACTGCCGCTACTAGGAAATTCATCAGGACATCCACACAGGTGGGTGCCTCATCTGCCAGGGTCCTCAGAGCCTTGGGCAGGGAGTGGGTGAAGAGAGTGTGGTAATACCTGGGCAAAGGGAAAAGACAGGGAGAGGCTGCAGCCAAATTCATCCCCAGGCCCCATTCTCCTCCCTCCTGACCTCACCTCTCCCTTTGACCCCCATCCCCAAGCCTCTGAGCCTGGCTGCCTCAGAAAGCTCCCATCCCTGGCATGAACAGCTCTCCACTGTGCTGTGTGCCCCGTGGCTCATCTGCAGTCAGTGGTGTGTTCCCTGCCCTCTCCCTCACAGCTCCTTGGGGCACCCATCCTTGGGCTCTGAGCGCTGAACCCAGAGCCAGAATTAGATGGGTTCGGATCAGCTGGTTTCAAAGCCATCAAACATGGAAGCCCAAAGAACAGTTGTGGATGAACCAGGCTGGTACTGCTTCGGGTAAGTCTCACTTCACACGGCCCTCAGACAGGCCAGCCTCACCTCGCAGACATTAGGTTATTCACTAGTCTACTGAGAATTCCCTGCAGAGCTCCTGAGTAATCTACAAGAGGTTCCAGGTTATGCATTTTTGATTTAAACATGTTTAAGGAACACCTCTAAAGAGGTCTTACAGAATTCAGTCCCTGCCCCAAGACCAGAGCACTTCGGGCAGCTTCTGGAAGGCCTGGGATGTTCCCCAACTCATCACATCCACATTTATAAAGCATCAGTACTATTCTCTTTTTTTTTTTTGAGACGGAGTCTCGTGCTGTCACCCAGGCTGGAGTGCAGTGGCCGGATCTCAGCTCACTGCAAGCTCCGCCTCCCGGGTTTGCGCCATTCTCCCGCCTCAGCCTCCCCAGTAGCTGGGACTACAGGCGCCCTCCACCACACCTGGCTATTTTTTTGTATTTTTTAGTAGAGACGGGGTTTCACTGTGTTAGCCAGGATAGTCTCGATCTCCTGACCTTGTGATCCGCCCGTCTCGGCCTCCCAAAGTGCTGGGATTACAGGCTTGAGCCACCGCGCCCGGCCAGTACTATTCTCTTGTCACCCCACCACCAGCAAACCCACACACTGCCCTTACTCACTGCATGGCTCTACTTAAAATAACAATAGCTACCATTTGTGGAACCTCTGTGCCAGGGACTTCATTTAATGTTCACACCAGCCCTGGGAGGTGAATCCATCCCATTTTACAGATGAGAAAACAAACTCGAGAGAAGTGAGGAGATTTGCCCAGGATCCCACAGCTGGGAAGTGGCAGATCTGGGCCTTGAACCTGGATCCCTGGGGTCTAGGCTACCCTGCTCCGTTCGGGGTAGGGGTCTCTGGTCTTCTGATCCTCTGATCCCTGGGCAGGGTGGGGGTCTGTACCTATGGTAGAAGGCGGCTGTGGTGAGAACCATGGAGAATTCGTTGGTCCTCTCAGCAGTGTAGCCCCAGCCACCATGGGCCTCATCCCAGAAATGGCTTGACGTCAGGAAGCCCACCATCCGCTCTGGGAAGCTCTGCCACACCACAAAGGCAAAGTCCACCTGGAGAGGGACTCAAGTGAGCTGTGAGGAGGGACCTCCTAAATGCCTAGAACATTCAGAGAGATGGAGGCAGGGCCAGCCTGGCTGAGGGGCCAGGGCAGGACTCAGGGGAGAGGAGGTGGGAGCCATGGCTTCGAATTGGCTGGAAGTGTGGCATGAAAGCTTCTAAGGGCCACAAAAACAACTTCTCAAAAGAGTCCGTGGAAAGCCTCAACGAGTCTCCTAAAGAGGAGGCTGCCTGGCTTGCTGGGGTGGTTTCAAATGCAAGAGGTTGGACCTCATGACCTGGGGCCCCCCCCAACCCTGGGAACCTGAGGGGCTGCCGGGGCCCTCTGGCTGTGTCCACCCACACTGGGCTTCTCTTGGGCCCAGCCCTCACCTCACTTGTGGAAAGACTGCTGCGGGCATCAAGGCTGAGGACGGCATCTGTTCTGATGGTGCTGTATGGGAAGAAGCGATCACTAACCTGCAGGGAGAAGGGGGAGGGGGACTCAGTCACTGGAACCTTCCCCCTACCCCCATCCAATAAGTAGGAGCCAATCAGGCACAGTGTAGATGCCTGGGCCATGCATAAAGCCTCCCTTCAGGCACAGTGTAGACGCCTGGGCCTCGAATATGGCAAGCCAGTGCAGAGCTCGTTTTGGAACCTGGGCAACTCATTTGACCTCTCTGGGTTTCAGTTTCCCCTTTGGTAAAATGGGGCAGTTGGTCTCTAGGGGCCTTTCCAATTTTGACATCTGGGGATTCCTCCATTGTCATACTGTCGCATCAACTGTGGGAGGAGTGTCAAACATCCCTCATTTGAAAGAAACAGATCTAGAGAGATGAAGGGACTTGCCCACAACCATGTGGCAGGCAGGTGGTTCACACCAACCACGGTTCCCAGAAGCCTCCCTTTCCTGGCCCAGTGTGCTGCCCTTGGTCCATATTTTCTTAAGATCCCAGGTTTCTCCCCTGTTCCTCATCTCAGATATCAGCGCACTCCTCTGTCTTCCTGCATCACATAAGCCCCAGTGCTCTGGAAGCACAATTCACAGGGACCAGGGAGGGAAGAGAATCATTACTATTAGCCCTGCAGCTGAAACCTACTGTGTCATTCTTCAACTTCAACTGTGGCTCAGGCCCAAGTATTCATAAAACACCCATGGGTGCCCTCCCCCAGCCTCCAGCATAGGCCCACCCCTTTCATGGCCCTCCTCAGCCCTTACCTTCCTGTGCCCATCAATGACTGTCAAGGGCATGGCTGTCTCCGGCCAACTGGATGGGAGTGGCCTCTCATTACTCCAGAGAACCAAGATCTAGAGGACAGGGGGTTGTTCCTGAAGTCTGGGGTCTAGGGCAGAAGGCGGGTTGCAGGGGGCAGGAGTGATCTTTCTCAAGGTGGAAGAAGTTTGGGGAGTCAATTTTATAAGCTGCACATGGGAGAAGGGTTTAGTTGGATCCAAGTTCCATTCATCACTGCTCTCTCCTTGCTTCTGGGCTTGTAGAAGGCAGGAATTCTGGTGACATGAGGGTAGTGACCTATGGCTTTAGAACTCGAGAGTTGTCTGTGGTAGTCCCTAGCCTGGGCGCTGACTCCATGCTCCATCCCCATCTTTTCTCGAAGCCTTCATTCTCTTCCTCAGGCTCTTTTATGACGCCCAGCCCAGCTCGATGGCCTGTTTCGAGCCGTCTCGTGTGCACCCTGGCTGAGCTAACTGCTTCACTTCCTCTGCAGGGACTCGTATGAGTCTATCTGTCTTCTCTAGAAGTAAGATTTGACAGTCTGTGTGCCAGAAAATGCTAACCCAGTCTGAATCTCTGGGCAGAATCCTTCCCTGCTTTTTCTCTGCTCAGCATGAAGCCCAGGACCGGACCTAGTGCTCAGAAAATGACTGCTGAGTAAAGGAATGAATGTTTCCTTCTCCAGCCTCCCCAAGAGACACCTGCTTTTCACATGGCTTCATCGATTTCCATGGGGAAAAGGCAACAGAATCTTGGGACTTACAGAAGAAGGCAGCAAGAACACTTGGAAATCGTCCCCATTCCTCCCCTCAAAATGAGTGGTCATCCTTGGGGTCTGGAAGTCTTCAGGGCCCTGCCCTGTCCTTGCCCCCACCCTGGATCCCAGGACTCCAGCTGGGAAGGGGGCAGACCTGGGCACAGTGCTGGGAGCCTGCCACCGCCTGGATGAGCTTCAGAGGGGGCTGACCTGGGGGCCCCACCCAGATCAGGGCGCTGAATCTGCCCTCAGGGCGGGAGCCTGGGGGAATGAGACACAGGCTATTAGGGTGGGAGGGAACAGAACCCCATGAAGAGTGACCTGAGTAGGGAATCCCGGGGGCCAGGAGAAATGTCAGGGCTTGGGAAGGGTCTTGGTGGGGCTCTCCAGATGAGGCTGGGGCAGCCCTAGGTAGAACTGAGGGGACTTCAGGTTGTCCCGCCCCCAGGGCATACCCTGTTGCAGGTGGTAGAAGGGGAAGTCCTGGGGGCTTGTGGAAAAAGTAGACAGGGCCAGGAGTGCCCCTGGGGGGCTGTTCCACAGCAGCGAGGGGTGAGCTGATGTTCCAAAGATCCGGTCCTGAATAACCTGAAATGAGAGAGGAGCTGAGCAGAGCGAGTGGCCTGTGTGTCCATGGCCACACCTCCCCTTCCAGGCTCTGGGGAGGGTGGCAACTACATCACCAGTCCTCTGGGGTCAGAAGCTGAGGTCTAGAGTAGGGGGCACTCCATGATGTTGCTCCAGAGGTGGGAGATGGTGGCAGGGTCACTGCTTCCCCTTCCTTCCTCACTCATGACAGATGTCACTAACAGGTCATGACATTTTTCAGGACTCAGAATCCCTCCAAACATAGCACCCCAGGCAGCCGTCAGTGGTCAATTGGCATTGGCACATGCTTTGAAATCTATTTGCTACAGCGGTCTTCTCTACAGATGGGGAAACTGAGGCCAAGATTGGAGAAGAAACTTGCCCCAAATCTCACAGCCAAGTCTCAGATTCATCCCAGGACCATCTTCAAGGAGTGGGGGTGTCCCCGAACGCTGGGACAGAGAAGTATGGAGAGGTGACAGGGATGGAGCAGGAGTCAAGGGCCAGGACCCCCATCAGGTGAGCCCCCTCACCTCCAGAGTGGTATGGATAACCTTCTCCACCGAGGAGAAGTAGGCATCCCATAGAAACTGGGTCTGCTGACGCAGGGCGAGGACCCGTGCAGGGGACATCTCCTGGAGGGCAGCCAGGACCTGGGGCAGAGAGGGAAAAAGTGCCAGATAATAGAGCAATTTTGAGCCCAGGAAGTTGAGGCTGCAGTGAGCCATATTTATGCCACTGCACTCCAGCCCGAGCAACAGAGCAAGACCCTATCTCAAAAAAAAAAAAAAAAAAAAGCGTTCAGGGGTCACACAGAGTTGGGTCTGAATGCCACTTGGTAACCATGTGACTGTGGTCGAGCTGTTTAACCTCTCTGAGTATTTGCTCATTAATTGCTTAGTACATTGTAGAGGCTCAATAAATAAATGGTAATTACTATTAACCCCCTCTACCATTCTCAGGGGATTCAAGGCAGGTCACACATATATTTTTCAGAGCTGGACAGAATTTGTTTCATCAGATGGAAAAGTCTCCATGCGTTTTGCTTTCCCACTCCAGTCCCCATGGAGGCGCTCTGAGTCTGAATTGTTTTGTAGCCTTCCCCTAAATTGGTATTTAAGCAGTCACAGGCCATTGGAGCTGGGCCCATGGGGATTGTCTGGTCCAGCTCATCCTGTTGTGGAGATGGGAAAACTGAGGCTGCAAGAGGAGCAGGACTTGCTCTCAGAGCCCTTAGGAATCTCTAGCTCCATCGGATCCTCTGGGAGCCCCAGAGGGGAGACTTGGTGCTGGGAGAAATTCATCAGTATCCATACAAGGCAGATAGGAATGAGGACTGAGGCCAGCCTTGATTCAGGATTCTGGGTCCCTCCCCTGTCCTGGGTCCAGTTCCCACCCTGTGGGCAGGGCTCTGAGCTACCTGAAGCGGGAGCCTCTCATCAGCTACGACGGCTGCCTTGGTCCAGTCGATGACCTCGGAGAAGGGCAGCTCCCAGCGGGGGCTGAGAAGCACTGGGATGCAGCCGGCCTGGGGGGCGGGGAGGTCACTGGGGAGCCCAGCCCCACCCTGCACATACTCACCCCCCACCCAGTTCCAAGTCAGTAACTGCTGCTATTGGGGGCAAGGGGCAAAGAGGACAGGAACATGGGGTGTCTCAGGGAAGAGAGGTTATGGTTGTTCTGCAGAGTGTGCAGTGAATGGGGACACAGGCACACCTGAGTCCAGAAGTAAAGGAGCAGGCAGCTCACTGCCCCTTCTCATTGGCCTGGACCCAGCCAGCTCATGAGTGCTGGGGGACAGAGGACAGGTGATGCTCAAATTGGGGTTGTACCTGCAGGGCTTGGAGGAAGCGCGAGGCAGCTTCTGGACGGTGGCCAGAGATGAGGCAGAAGGTGGCATTGGGCAGAGTCTCCCTGCGCTGGGTCCTAAAGAGGCACACAGGAAGGTCCCGGTACACATGAGCTTAGACAGTGCCCTTCGCCCCACCGGGCTCCCTCAATGGGAGCACCCCACACCCCTGCACCCCACACCTACACTCCCAAATGTGCAAACCCACTCATGCATATGCACAGTCGCACAATGACACACTAACACAAACACAAGCCTCACACCGGCCACGCGTCTGTGGTTGGAATAGGAGGCAGGAGCCCTGCATTCTAGCTCTGCCTCTTCCCTCAGTGGCTTTAGAAACCTCCCTTGCCTTTCTCTGACCTCAGTTTCCTCATCTGTAAAATGGGAGGCAGAGGGTGCTGATGTTTCCAAGGCCCTGCCTGACTTAGACATGCACGTCTGCCCTCCCCGACTCGGCCACAGGCAGACTTTCAGCACCCTTTGCCTGCGTGGCCTCTGAGCCCAGCCCTCCCCAACGCTGAAAGCCAGGCCCAAGAAAGGCTCCTCTGTCATGAGGTGGGCTGGGCCCCCAGCCTGGAACCACACAGGAAGCTGCTGCCCAGAGGCCCCCTGGCCCAGAGGACAGGCTTCCTCTGTTCCTCCCACCTACCACCCCACCGCCACAGCCCAGGGCCACACTCAGGCTGTGTGTGCCTGTGGGGGAGGGCAGGAGTCCCAGCCTCCTCAGAGCCACCCCCAGCAATTGTCCACCCAGGGGACCATCGCCTGTGACCCAGTCAGGGGAGGGATAAAGGGAGGGACCAAGACACAGGCCTGCTCAGTGTGGGACTCATGACTATGGCTCTCAGGGTCCTAGGACCCTCCTCAGTTACAGCCTGCTTGACTCTGAGCCTGAACCTCCAAGAAGCAGACCTGGGAGTACTTAGGCAGCCTCGGGGCCATGCCCCATTGAACAGATGGGGAAACTGAGGCCCAGAGAGACCCAAGGACCGGCTCAGGGTCACAGATAGGGTTGGGGTGGAGCTGGGACTAGAGCAGAGATGTGCCAGCTCCTGACTCCAAGTTACCTGAACCACCCCAGAGCTGCTGCTTTAGGGGTCTCCCAGGGGACCCCAGCCTTCTTTCTCCTCCCTCCATGCTTAAGCGTCCACTAGGCCCTCCCTGGAAGAAGCCACAAGTAACCACCAGGACACCCTTCACCTCATTAAAAGCCACAGCAGAAGCCAACCAGGTACAGCCCCCTTCACCCCCAAGTCAACCTCTAAGGAACTGAAAACCTCTAGGTTAAGGCTGAATAAACTGCACCACTGAGCCTTAACCTCCCTTGATCCTCTGTGCCTTTAAGATCTCTTCTCCCTCACACTGGAGGGCCCCTCCCTGCCTTGTCAGCCTGAGGAAGTCCTCCTACTCATCTTTTTCTTCTCAGACAAGCTCTTGTTCTGTCACCCAGACTGGAGTACAGTGGTGCCATGACAGCTCACTGCAGCTTCGACTTCCTGGGATCCAGCAATTCTCCTGCCTCAGCCTCTTGAGTAGCTGGGACTACAGGCATGTGCTACAGTGTGTGTTTTTCTTTTTTTTTTTTTTGTAGAGATGGGGTCTCTCTGTGTTGCCCAGGCTGTCTCACACTCCTGGCCTCAAGTGATCCTCCTGCCTTAGTCTCCCAAAGTGTTGAGATTACAGATATAAGCCACCACACCTGGCCTTTTCCTATACTGTCTTAATGTCTAAGCTGAAACATCACCTTCTCTGGGAAACCCTCCTTGATGTCTCCAGAGATGGTTCTCTCTGCTCCCGCCTCCCGGTGGACTGCAGTAGTAATGATCCAAGCTAACCTATATTGAGTATGTACTTTGCTCCAGGCACTGTTTTAAGTGCTTTACATGTATTAACTCAGTTCACTCTCACAGCACCTCTATGAGATAGGAGGGGAGGTATGCACTGTTATTATCTCATTTTACAGAGAGAAAACTGAAACCCAAAGAGGTCACACAGCTCTTGAGTAGAGGAGCCAGGTAGGCAGCCGGTGCAGCCTCTCTCTGCTTAACAATGTCAAACAATCGACTTGCCTGTCTCTCCTACAAGGCTGAGCTCCTTGAGGATGGGGCTGTACCTCCCTCATCTCAGCATGCCCAGGGCCTAGCAGAGTGCCTGGTGGAGAACGGCAGCTCAGTGGGTGCTGCCGAATGCTCAGTGTGACACTAGGGAATAGATCTGGGACCAAGAGACCAGGCATCTGGGGGGTCAATTTCAGCAGAAATTCTAGTGATGGAGCTGACTGAGAGTGCAGCCAGTGGGTGGTCTTTGGAGGTGATGAGTTCCCCATCAGTAAAGGTAAATAAGTAGAGTCTGGATGAGCACCTTTGGCGGGGAACAGGGAGTGTGTTACAGAGGAAACTTGTGCATCTATGTGGTGACCACTGAAGAAGTCTTAGGCTTCTGTGACCACGTAAGGTACCCGTCATAGACTCAGGGCCTCAGTACCCAAGGGTGGTCACTGTGGCTGTGCCCATGGCCTCAGTGCTCTACTAGGGCCTGGCCATAGGCAAGGCCACATTGTGACTTCCATGTGCCCTAGGCACGTTGGCCTTCACAGTCCCTCCTGCCATAAAAAAAAAAATATAGTTGATAACTGTGTTGGTATAAAAACAAGCAATATTATATATTAAAACATTTTCTGCTGGGCACCGTGGCTCACGCCTGTAATCTCAGCACTTTGGGAGGCTGAGGCAGGCGGATCATTTGAAGTCAGGAGTTTGAGACCAGCCTGACCAACATGGTGAAACCCTATCTCTACTAAAAATACAAAAATTAGCTGGGCGTAGTGGCACGTGCCTGTAATCCCAGCTACTCCGGAGGCCGAGGCAGGAGAATTGCTTGAACCCAGGGAGTGGAGGTTGCAGTGAGCCAAGATTGTGCCATTGCACTCCAGCCTGGATGACAGAGCAAGACTTCGTCTCAAAAAAAAAAAAAAGTTTTTTTCTTCTACCTGAAAGTTCTTTTTTTTTTTTTTTTTTTTTTTTTGAGACAGGGTCTCTCTCACTCTGCTGCCCAGGCTGGAGTGCAGTGGCATGATCTCACTGCAGCCTTGACCCCCTGGGCTCAAGCGCTCCTCTCACCTCAGCCTCCCAAGTAGTGGGACTACAGGCTTGCATTACCGCACTCAGCTAATGTTTATAATTTTTGTAGAGACAGGGTCTTACTATGTTGCCTAAGCTCAGGCGATCCACCCGCCTCAGCCTCCCAAAGTGCTGGGATCACAGGCGTGAGCCACTGTACCCAGCCCTGATTTTCAAAAAATGAAAATATTTTCATGAGCCTATAAAAGTATCATGGGCCCTAGGTACTGACTGCGCCCCTTGTTCCCAATGGATACAGCCTGGGGGACTTTAAAGCATGCATCAAATTTATGTTAAAAAATGGGGGAGAATATACATATTGCTTGTACACATGCAGAGTTTCTCAGAAAAGACACATAAGAAACTGGAAGCGGTGTTTGGCTCCAGGCAGGAAAACTGGGTGGCCGGGAGACAGGGATAGAAGGGAGGCTTTTCACTCTATGCCCTTTTGTGCCTTTGGAATTTTGTACCATGTGAATGAATTACCTATTCATAAAAATGAATAAATAACAATTTGAATGGGTGGAGATTTATTCCAGAGCAACAAGAGACCGTTCAACCAAGGTGGAAAAACATGGGCTTTGGAGCCAGAAGTACAGGGCTGAATCCCAACTCCACTGTTTCCAAGCGCCTGATTAGAAAAGTGAGGGGCCCATGGAGAACAGGGAACCTTGCCACCCTGGGCTACTCCACTCTCTGGGCCTCAGTTTTCCGTTCCCTGAAATGGAGATAATAATACCTCCCTTGAAGGGTGCATGACAGGATCAGCAGTGACTTAGGTAAAGTGCCTGGCACAGCACCTGGCCGAAGTCAGGCACTCCTCAAATGTAGCCTCCTCCCCTCCCGACTCTCGCCCGGCTGAGTGAATGTGGGGCGGTGGCAGGAACTGTGAATGGCCTCTTTCTCTGGCCGGCACTTGTGTATTCAAGCTATCTCTCTCACTCTGTCCCTACGCTGTCTGGCCCAGGCAGCTGCCTGGCACTTCGGAGAAAGTGAGGCTCAAGCCACTCCAGATGACAAGCCCTATCACCTTCAGGGAGGCTGAGGCCAAAGACCACACTTGAAGGTCAGAGGACAAGGCTGCCAAGCTTCGCCCCTGGGAAATAAAACTTATCAAAAATGCTACTCAGAGGGTGACCCACGCTAATTAGAAAACTGTGGGTGGCTCTGGCCAATTTCAGATCCATTAGTAAACAGTTAATGAGCGCCTACCTGCTGCACGCAGTTCTCTAACTTCCAGTTTCTCAAAGAAGTTCAGACTGAAATCACTTTCAGGTTCATCAACAATGAACTGTGCTTAGCGGTAACTAAAGTCAGCTGAAAAAAGAACTTCCTGCAAGCAAGAGTACCTGAGTGCCTCATCAGAAAAGTGAGGGAGGGCATGGCAAAGGGAGAGCCTTGTTGCCCAAAATGAGCTTCTGCCTGAGCGCTGAGCTGCAGGGGCTTGAGTGAGATCCCTGACTTTTCAGGCTCCTGCCCTGGAGACCATTAGGGATGCGTCCTAGCAGAAGGACCCTGGGGTTGACCGGGACAAGTCCATTCTGACTCCTGGCTGTGAGGGCTGCCTGTACCTTCAGGAGGTGGAAGGATCCCATTCCCACAAGAGCCCTTTGGCTGAGAGAAGTCCCAGGAGCCCGAAGCAGAGGCAAGAATTCCTGGGAGGGAGTGGAGCTCAGAATAGCTGATGTTGTTCCAGCAGAGAACAGAGAGAGAGACCTGAGGAAGGAGCAAAGGTGACAGTTCCCTCCTCAGGTCTGACCCAGGAGGGGTGGGATTCAGAAGGAATCCTCTGCCACCGGGGCCCTGGACAGCCTCGGAAGGACTCTCATTCTTGCCTGTCCAGCTAGCCTTTGGAGGCTGCTGGCCTGCTGGGGACACAGAGGGGTTAGAGTACTTAGGGGATAACCATCACCTGAGGCGCATCACCCCAACTAGCCCAGGTGGAAAAGAGTTTCCGCACAAGCTCACCACGTCCCACAGGCCCCCAGCCCCTTATATGTCAAGGGCCTCTCACTGGCAGGAAATTCTTCTTTAGACCTGACCTACGTCATATTTGCTATAACCAAAGGCTGTTTCCTTGAGAGGTTAATCCCCAAAATTAGACACAGGAGCAGCTTCCAGCTGTGACTGTGAGGCCCCTCTGAGGCATTTGATGAGGTTGATCATAAACTTCTGCTTAAAACTCAGAATTCTCATACTGAAGGCTTTGGAGATAGGCAATTCTGGATCAAAATACTGGCTCTTTCCAGCTGGGTGGCCTCAGAAAAATTACTTAACCTGTCTGAGCTTTCGTGTCTGGTACACAAACACTTAAATGCTAACAACTAGCGTATTTTATTATAATCATTATTTATAAAAGTGCTTAGCACAGAGTAAAGCACTATACAAGTATATGTGGGGAAAAAAATATTAGGGCAGGAGGTTTGGAATGAGTCGTATTTTATGTTTTGAAAGACCCCCAGGGGAAAATTCCAAAACCTACCTTAGACACCCCTTGTGTCAAGTCCCCATCTTAATGGAAGTGCTCTCTGCCATCTAACTTGGCTCCCACCTGCTGCAGCTGAGGCCTAAGTCTGCCAGGACTACCTGGTTCTCCCATCTCAGTTCTGTCTTCTACCCTGGTCTCTGGGCTTGTGTCTATTCCAGCCCCCTCCCATCCAGCCCCCAAGGCAAAAGGTTCACTTACTGCCCAGGTCCAGGGTCTTGCTCACAGCGTGCATCCCAGGGGCAGGCAGAGGAGCCGGTGTCTGCTGTGCGCCACCCACCCCTCTCCTCTTCCAGGGCTAGCAGGGCTATCCCGGGCTGGGGGCTGTGTTGCTGCAGCTGGCCAGGAGCCCCACCTCGCAACGGGTGGGCTTCAGGGAGAAAAGGGAGGGCCACATCAAAGCCAGGCCGGAAGGAGTCCACTGTGGGGCTGGCCTCAGCTACCATAGCCTGTCCCAGCTGGAAGGTCTTGGGGCAGGGAGCTGGGTGGAGACGGAGGACCAGATGGTTCCTGCCCCTGTTCCATTGCAGAGGCATTGAGCTGCACTCTCCAGTCTGGGCATCCAGGCTGAGGAGGAGAAGGAGGCAGGCCCCAGCAGGACTGAATGTGTGGAAGCGAGAGCCCTCAATGGAAGCCAGGATCCTGTGGTGAGTCTCAGAGATCGGTCCAGAAGCTGGGTACACGAATACCTTAAGGCCATCGCCCCTGCACTTCGAGGTGTCAAAGCAGGCTCCCCAGTCGCAGCTGCCACCATGAGGGGCTTGAGGTGAAGCGGCATCTTCTGGGAGCTCTCCAGCCTGGGAGAAGCTCTGCAGGAGCTCTGCGTCCAGCCAGCGCGGCCAGCCTTGGGGAGCCCCAGGCCGAGGTCTGGGAGGCAATGCCAGGCGGAGAAGGGAGAAGCCTCCCAGCAGGACAAGCAGGAGCCAGGAGGCTGACAGTGCCAGCCAGAGGGACCTTATTCTCCTCCACGACTGCATGTGGCCACCCACAGTCAGGGCTGGGGAAGCTGGGAGGCCTCTGCCAGCAAGCAGGAAGAGCAGGGCCTGGGGCGGGCGACTAGAGCTGGGACCCACCTGCTAGTCCTGCCCTCTCATTGTACAGATGGGAAGACTGAGGCCCATTGAGACCAGGCTGCCTGTCTAAGGTCAGACAGTGAGTCACCAGCCAGGCAGGAGGAGGCCAGGTGGGACCCAGCTTGCTGGCCTGGCCCCCCTGCCCTCAGGACACTGCCTTCTTGGTTTAGGCAACCAAGCCAGCCTTTGCCCTCCCAGCAGGGGCCCCTGCCCCTGGGCACTGCTCTGGCTGACACAACCCCTGTCCAGAATGCAGGGCCGTGTCCCCCTGACCTCCTGGCTGCACCCCTTGACCTTGCCCTCAACTGAGAGGAAGGCTGTCTGCCAGGCCATGGGGACCAGTCAGAGCTCCCACAAGGGGCGGCTTGGCCAGGGACGGGCTGGAGGGAGCTGGGCTGGTCTTCTCGCTCCTCCCCTTGCCTGAGCAGCCCTGGCTGCCCCTGTGCCCGCTGGCAGACACTCCTGGACTGTGGCCCCTGTGGCTGGAGCTAAAATTAGACCCTGCATCCCATGTGGATCATCGGAGTCAGCTGAGGTCACAGCCTGGGTGCAGCCGGTGTCCCCCGCCTTGGATGGCCAGGCGGGTTCAGGGTCCTGGTCCCCATCAACTCTGCTGCTGCACCAGCTCAGGAAGTGCAGCCCCTCTTCCCCGCAGCCCAGCAGCTGCCCTGCACCATGTGGCTTGGAGCTATCACAGTGCAGGGGCCAGGGCCACTGTGCCAAGCCCCCCAAACCCTACAGTGTCTTCTCCCGTCCCTCTCCAGTCGGCATCTGGCCCATCTAGATCTCTTTCCTTAGCAGCAGCCTGGCTCCTCCCCTGCCAGCCCTGATTCGCTCCTGGCTGGGAGGCAGGGTCTCCATTTAACCCCTTTCAAACCAGTTTCCTCAACTGCTTATCAAACCATCAAGTACCACAACTCACAGCTGGCCATGAGCTAGCACAGCCTCTGTCTCTCAGTCCTCCAGCCACCCTCCAAGGCAGAGATTTACCTGTCATTTCTTACAGATAAGGAAAGCTCAGAGAGGGGGCGAACTCTTCCTAAGGTGACCCAGCTAAGAAGTGGCAGGGTGGGGATTTGAATCCTGAGTTCCTGATCGTCGGCCACCCCAGCTGTGGGCCCCGTGGCTAGAGCAAAAACAAGACTCTGCACCTGCTGTGGGCCATCAGAGTCAGTGGAGGCCAGAACCCGGGTGTAAGGAATCTCCGAATCAGCAGATGAGAAGGTCAACAGATGAGACGAGTGAGGAATTAAGGGGTGGGGGTGGTGGAATTGGGTAAGGTGTCCCCAACTGTCCCCAGGATCGGTCTCTTTTCCTTCAGCAGCCGCAGCCCCGATCTCCTCCAATTCCCAGCCTTTTACTCCAGTCCTTATGGAAAGTTCTTCCTGCACTTGACTCTCCATTAGTCCAGACCCCATGCAGGGATTTCCCTGGTCAGTGCCCTGTGAGGGGAGTCAGGAGTGGGTGATGTCAGCTACTGAGGAATCTCTGGGGTGATGGGGGAGACACACTCTGGCCACGAGGAGTCCTGGGCTGATGAGGGAAGGCACAGGGAGTCGGCAGACTTGAGTGGGCTCTGCCTCTTCTCCTGACTGCCTCGGGAGTGTGGGGCCTCTGTCCCCTTATCTCTGGGATGGGCATAATCTCAGCCAGGAATGGGTTGCCAGGTTGACCCAGGCCTGTCCCCTGGGGTCCCTCAACAAGGGGTGGCCTCCTTTCCCCTGCGTGCCTCCCCTTGATCTTGGAGGGCTGCTGATCAGATGAGGGAGCCGCCATGGGACTTTTTACCCTCGGTGAGCAGCCAGCCTGAGACTGTCCTAAAAATGGCCCACAAAGGGGACACTGAGCTCTTGGCACTAACCGCTCAGCCACTCAGTAATGAACTGTGGCTCCTGCACACCTCAGTTTTCCCATGCTGAGAGACACCCACACAGGCCACTGGCTGCTCCTGCTTCACATGCCCCCCTCTCACTGTGCCCAGCCAACGCCTCATCCTGCAGGAGTCAGCTGAAAGCTTCCTTCCCACAGGAAGCTTCTCCAATGCTCCCCAGGCTGGGTTAGAGCCCCCCTCTAGGTCCTCATGCCATTCCTTCATCCCTCTATCCCCATACACAGTCATCCGTTCATCTAACAAACACTATGAGTGTTGAATATGGGCCAGGTTCTGAGCTAGGCCAGGGGACACGGCCCTGAGTAAGAGTAATCATAGCTGACACTCATTGCACTTACCCTGTGCCAAGCACCCCTCGTTTGTATTAGCTCATTTCATCCTTGCCCCAACCCTAGGAGGGAGAAACTGTGATGATCCACATTTGACAGTTGAGAAAGCTTGAGGCCCAAGGAGCTTAAGTAATTTGCCTAAATTCCCGTGACTTAGCCAGGACTTGGACCCAGGTAGTACACTCCTGTAACCACTGTACCATTCCAGCTCCCAACAGGGAGGGAGACAGACGCGTCCCCACCCTCCAGAGCTCACTGTCCTGGAGAAGACAATTACAGAACTAGGCAATTGCAGGCAATTACAGAATGAGGGGAGGGTACCCTGAGAGTACACAGAGGGGCTGCCCAGCCCAGGGGGCCAGAGAAGGCTTCTGAGGAAGTGATACCTACCCTAAGACCTGAAAGAGAGCAATCTGGTTTGTAGAAAAATCCTGTGGCTGTCTGTGTGGGGACAGACAGGAAATGGCAGGATTGGATGCAGGGACAGCTTTTTGACTGGTCTGTCACCCCACAAGTCTCTCATTCATTCAATGGCTATTTAATGAACCCCTACTGTGGGGCCAGGCAGGTCTTAAGGGCAGTGAGCAAAGCAGAAAAAATCTTGCCCTCCTGGCACTTACCCTCCAGGGAGGGGAAATAGGCAAGAAACAAAATGAATAAATATCTTATGCTATTTGACAATAACTGCTGGGGAGATGGGATGGGTTGCAACGTTAGACAGAAACACAGGAGGCCTCATCAAAAAGCTGGCATTTGTGGCCTGGTACGGTAGCTCACATTTGTAATCTCAGCACTTTGGGAGGCTGAGGTGTGCAGATCACTTGAGGCCAAGAGTTCGAGACCAGCCTGGCCAACAAAGCAAGACCCCATCTCTACTAAAAATACAAAAATTAGCCCAGTGTGGTGGCGCATGCCTATAATCCCAGCTACTTGGGAGGCTGAGACATGAGAACTGCTTGAACCCGGGAGGCGGAGGTCACAGTGAGCCGAGATCACGCCACTATACTCCAGCCTGGGCGATAGAGCGAGTCTGCCTCAAAAAACAAAACAAAACAAAACAAAACAAAACAAAACTGGCATTTGTGTAAATTTCTGAGAAGGTGAGGGAGTGAGTGAAGAAGTATATTTCTAGTGGAAAATAGCTCCAGGCAAGAGGAACAGCCGGGCCACAGGTTCTGAGGCAGGAGTGTGCCTGCCGCATGATGGGTACGCTCTGACCTTGTTTTCACAGCACGACTCAGGCTCCAGGGAAGAGGCTGGCTGTAGGATCAGGGACACCAGCTGTGAGCCCTGCTGGGCCAGGCTGTAGTGCAAGTGAGCCACGGCGGTGACTGGGACCAGGATGGCGGGGTGGGATGAATGAGAAGTAGTTGGATTCTGGGTATATTTTAAGCCAGGACAAATTGCTGATAGATTAGATGTGAGGTCCGGCCTGCACCACAGACAGGGTGGAGTTGTCATTAACTGAGATGGGGAAAACTGAGGGGAACAGTTTTGGGGAAGAAGCTCAGGAGTCTGTTCTCATACATCCTTCTCATCCCCAGCAATAATAAAATAAATGTCCAGACTGGGCACAGTGGTTCACACCTGTGATCCTAGCATTTTGGGAGGCTTAGGCAGGAGGATCCTTTGAGCCCAGGAGTTTGAAACCAGCCTGGGCAACATAGAAAGTCTTCGTCTCCACAAAAAAAAAAAAAAAAAAATTTTAATTGGAACTGGTGGCTCATGCCTGTAATCCCAGCTACTTGGGAGGTTGAGGTAGGAGGATTGCTTGACCCCAGGAATTTTAGGCTGCAATGAACTATGGGTGCCACTGCATTCCAGCCTGGGCACAAGAGGAAGACCCCATCTTTAAATATATAAAACAAATATAAATAAATAAATAAGCCAGGCATGGTGGCATGCACCTGTAGTCCCAGCTACTCAGGAGGCTGAGGTTGGAACGTCAGCGGGAGGATCTCTTGAGCCCAGGAGTTTGAGATCAGCCTAGGCAACATACAAGACTGTCTTTATTTTTTTAAGGATATATATATATATCTCCAACAAATACTTGTTGAATGAGTGAAGGAATGGAGGGATGGACAAAGCTGAGATGGCTAGAAAGCCAAGCCCAGCTGGTTTAGCGTTTGGAAGAATACCTAATCCCATTCTATTAATAGCTCTATGCGTCCCCCACCCCAGCCCTGGGCTCCCTGGCTGGCTCCTGCCCATGCCCATATTTGTGCACATACTTAAGCCTTCTCCTACCTTCATCCCTGTGGAGGAAGCTCTCAGGCCAGCTGGAACCTGGACTTGTCTAGCCTGCGATTCACATGGTTGCCCTGGGGCTTGGATGGAGGAAGAGAAGGCAGGGGCATCCTGGCAGGCAGGACTGAGGTCAGGGATCTGCCAGGGGCCTCCATCGGGCTTTTCAGTGCTCAAAAAAGCCACCAGGAGCCCCCATCCTATTCCTGGGCTCTGATCAATGGGACAGAAACGAACACTTTGGGCGATGGGAATGAGCCAGAGCAGGAAGGAGAGGATAGCACTGAAGGGGAGGAGAGGGCCTGGCCTCGGGTGCAATGGAAGAGGCTTCCTGGAGGAGGCAGAGGACTTGTCTCTTACAGCACAGGGTCGAAGCAGGCATTTGTGTGAATTTGAGGACACAGATGCCTCTGGAGGCATCTCGGAGCTCTGAGCACTGTAGCTTGTGTCACAGCTGTGGTGGTGTCACAGCTGCCTGGAGGCTGCCTGGACATAGGGGTGCTTCCTGCCTGAAGCACCAGGTGTCATATTGGCTAGGCACCCAGGCAGAAAATGGGAGCTAACAGTACCATGTTTCACCCGAAGCGTTTCCTCTCTGCACCCTCCTTGACCTTCCTTCCTTCCCTCCCTCCCGCTTCAGGCTGGGCCTGAAATCTCCAGAAGGAATGGCTCTGGTCCTCAGAGGAAGGGACTCAGCTCTGTGAGTGCTGTGGTTAAGAGCACAGCTCAAGTGCTCTCAACAAGCCGTGTGTTCCTGTAGAGTTGCTTCACCTCTCTGTGCTTCTGTTTCCTATCGGCAAAATGGGGATGCTAATAATAGCTCCTTCCCTGAAGGCTTGCTGGGAAGGAGATTAAAGAAATGAGGTAGTGAGTGTGTAGCATTCAGCACACCATGCCTGGTGTGGAGCAGGCGCCTAGCAAATGGCATCCTTTTGTCCCTCCTCAGACCTAGGGAGGTGAGGTGACTTGCCCAAGGGGTGCCGAGGTATCCATCTGGGTGGATCCAGACCAAGACTTGGGCTTCCCCCTCCCTGTTTCTCTTGCTGCACCTCCACCTCCATTCAGGAAGAAAGAAGATACTTGGACTCCAGGAAATGATCACCGTGGAAACCCATCTGCTGCTTCTTGTCTACGGCTGTTTGTTCCTGCAGCTCTGGGCTGCCTGAGTGTCTCACTGCAGAATTAGCAAGTGCGGAGGCTGGAGGTTTCCAGAGGCACTGAGGTCACAGCTCTCACTTGCTTGAGTCAGATAACCATAAGCCATGATGAATCCCAAGACTCTGCAATATCAGTCAACTCCAGCAGATGCTTCAGTCTGCCCCTGTAGACCCCCCACC